CTCCATTTAGCCCACCTGGCTCTAATTTCATGGGAAACATTCTCTTCAGTCTCTCCCCTGTCATGGGTTATTGTAACAAAGTAGTGAAAAAGGTCAGATTGAGATCTCTTTGTCTCCAATCCTAATTGTTTCCTGATCATTTCTCCTTTTAATAAATTGACATTGTATATGCATTCTATTTTAGTCCTAATTATTTTAAAACTTTTTAGTTTGAGGCATATCTCCACAAATCTAATTTCTCAATAAATGAGCTCATTAGCAAGGTGCCAATTGGTTGGTTGGTAAGGTCTCCTGCTGGTTGTAACGGAGACATGGGATTGAATCCCACCTGCACTTGGGTTGGGGGGATGGACTACCCCCTGTTGTGTAGCCCCTTGGAGCAAAAAAAAAAAAAGAAACCCAGGATAGTCCAATTATTACCAAAAAAATAAATGAACGCGTTTTATATTTTAAAAGCATGGCAGCAGTCTTATTATCTTTTGACTTTGTCACATTCTGAGAAATCTTGTTCATACTTGGAAGGCTGGCATAAGGATCGGGTGTTCAATCAGTGCTTCTAGCAAGTGCAAACCACCATGGTGGCGAACCCTGTTTGGTGGAGCTCCTGTGGATTTTGCAGCAAGAGAGAAATGCGAAGAGTGTGAGATGGCAGCTTGTCTTGCCGCTTCCAAAGGATCCTGTCTTAAATTGGCAAAAGATAAGTGCTTACCTCCATTTCGAGATGCACGTATTGCCTTGAGTGATAAGGAGATTTCAAAATTTATTTTCTGGGCATCTCCTTCATCAGAAGCAAGAAGCATGATTTCCAAGCCAGTTGGGTCAAGCCAGATGCCCTCCTACCTTTCATCTAAATGTGATCTCCAAGTGACAAATTACAGGGGAACTGTTCTGTTAGAGTCTAGTTGCGGTACTGAAAATTTTCCAGGTGATGAAGTTTCACCAAGCTAATAAAGGTTCAAGAAAACACTTGGTCCAAAGCTCATTCCAATTGGGAGGAGCCCCTTAAGATGTCACCTTTGGTAGATGTGATCATTCTTTCAGGGCATGTAGTAAATGATCTTGCAGAAGTGCCAAGAGACTAAGAGAACAGACAAGTTTCTTGGCACTTCTGCAACTGCAAGATCCTTCTTTCTGGGCATGGTGTAAATGATCTTGTAAACTACTGCACCAATTGTTGATGAAAGGAAAAGAGAATACAATGACAGGCTAACTAAATGCATCATTTTGTTGAAACTGTTTTGGGTGCAATAATGCAATGGACTTAGCTCAGTTTCCTGTTTAATTTTGTCAGTATTTTTTTTCTAACCTCTCTGAGTTGGTAAACATAGGGTGTCAATGGATTGGATTTTTATCGAATCTAATCTGATAATGTTGGATTTGCATGCTCGTTAAATCTAATTGGATTGAATTTGATTGCGAATTATAGTCCATTTTTGTTATTGGATTAAGTTGGATATTGCTCGTTCAATCTGTAGTAATCTGATCTGGAATCATTAACTCATCATTTGAATAATATGCAAATTTGACTTTGTGGTTAGTGTTTTCCATCACAGCTAGATGGTGAAAGATCTCCGTCTTGAGCTTGACTGCTTGATCAACGGTAATCAGTTGCAGAACCTCCAATTATAAAGAAAAGGAAAAAAAAAAAAATCAGTTGCTCTATCCTTTGACATGATGATGGCTAGAGTCAGAGCTGTGCCAACTGGTACAGCCCTTCTCTGTTCTCTTCTCAGAAAATCCCTTCTCAGCCCTGATTAACATTGAGTTTCAGCACACTCAAAGTCTAAGGAGTGTTGTGCTGATGACTTAAATAGTTAAATGGATTATCAATTAAGGTGTGTGTGTGTGTGCGGAATCCCCACTAATCGTGTCTATTTTTACCTTTCAGAGCTTCCCCTTTTTGAGTATAATTCAAAAGATCAAATTTCTCTCTCAAAGGTATCATGGAAACTTATGTTAATAATCTTAGATTTAGAGGGACCCACAAAGAGGGCAGGGCTCTATGAGGTCAAAAATAATATAGAGCCCAAGGCAAAAATGGATTTGATTGCCATTTCTAGAAAGTTGGATAGGGTAGACCTTCTAGCCCTAAAACTCGACCAGTTTTTCACTCTTAACCAACAATTGGGCCCATCTACCTCTTATCCCGAAGTATGTTTCACTTATGCCAGCCCGGTTCACCAGGTCGATGACTGTCCTACTACGACCCAGTTTCCACCTTTTATCCAAGAATAAGTTCAGGCAGCCCAAAGTTTCTCAAGGCTCACTAATGATCCATATTCTAATACTTATAACCCTGGGTTGAGAAACTATCATAACTTTTCTTAGAGGACACATCAACCCAATGTACAGTCCTATCAGCTTTCGTCCAACTCTATGGCCCAACAGTTTCAAAGGCCAGTAGTACAAAACCAGTTCCAGTAGGTGTACCATAGGAATCAATCGGCCTAACCATATCAGGGCTACCCGCAACCCCTTCAATCCCGATCAATAGATGATCAATTTATGGAGTTGCAGCAGTTGATCCTAAATCAACAACAGTCCATTGCTAGGTTAGAAAGCCAAATAGGGCAGCTAGCTGAAGCTAATGCAATGAGAGTAGTGGGGCAACTATCGAGTTGATCGGTTGCAAACCTTAGGAATTAGCCATCGGGTTTTTCTCAACAATTTAAACCACCTCTTCAGAATCCCCAATTCGAAAATACTAAAGCTATAACAATTTTAAAGAGTGGGAGAATTTTGGAAGACTCGCATGAGAAAGAAAGTAAAGAAGAAGAAAATGAGTCAAAAAAACCCTTAGTTGGGGG